TTTAATAAACTGATGTCATGTTTTAATAAACTGATGATGTCATGATTTAATAAACTGATGATGTCATGTTTTAATAAACTGATGTCATGTTTTATTAAACTGATGACGTCATGATTTAATAAACTGATGTCATGTTTTAATAAACTGATGATGTCATGATTTAATAAACTGATGATGTCATGTTTTAATAAACTGATGACATAAAGAGTAAACAGCTAAAAATTGAATAAAATAAATAAATAAATAAAGAGTAGCTCTATCATCTTCAGCTCAGTCATAGTTGGGTTTTATTAAAACTCCTGGAAGCTTTTAAAATGGTTCAAATCCTCTTTATTTCAGGCCCATGAGCGCTCAGAGAGCGTGGAGGTGACCTTCGTCACGCAGCTGGTGAAGAAGCTGATGATCATCATCGCCAGGCCCGCTCGGCTCCTCGAGTGTCTGGTGAGAAACTTCTCTCTTTCTTTCTTTCTTTCTTTCTTCAGTCATAAACATTCATTTCTCCACAGGACTTACCAGAAACTCACTGCACAAATTTTAAATTTTTTATCAAGTGTTCTCTAAGTCAGAAAACATCATTTTACACACACACACACACACACACACACAGAGGAGTGTGCTCGGCATGTGGGCTAACAGTAGCTCATTCTCTATGAATTTATGGTATTTTGAGTTCTCAAACTACTCTGGTTTCTTTTTTAAAAGTTGAGGGTTTTTACTGCCCCTTTTCCATGGTGTGGTGTCGGAACGGTCGGTGTAGGTACGGGTCGGTCTTCCACTGATGTTCCAGTCCGGTTCCAGTGGGTGTGTTTTGGGTGGTTGGTGGAGGTGGTTTTTGTGGTGATAGTCTGAAAACACTTATCCACTTGGTGGCAGTGTTTGCACCTTTACCTGTACCTTTACATGAAGAAGAGTACTAAGTGATTGTATGTTAGCAGGTGTGACACAAAAAATAAAAANTTTACAGCAGGTGGACCAGAACCAGGTTTATAGCAGGTGGACCGGACCCTGGTCTGCAGCAGGTGGACTAGAACCAGGTTTATAGCAGGTGGACCGGACCCTGGTCTGCAGCATGTGGACCAGAACCAGGTTTATAGCAGGTGGATTGGACCCTGGTCTGGAGCAGTTGGACCAGAACAGGGTCTACAGAATGTGGACTGGACCCAGCCTCCCTCCTTGCAGCGCTGGAAGGAAATCTTGATCTTTTCTTTTTGGAAACATGTTTGGTGTCTCAATACAGAGGCTGGAGGAGGAGGAGGAGGAGGAGGTGAGGGAAGAGGAGGAGGAGGAGGTGAGGGAGGTGCTGAGCCATAGCTGGGAGGAGGAGAACCTTCCTGCTCAGTTAATTTGAGTTTTTCTCCTGATCAGTCTGACTCAGGAGTCCACTGTCCCACACAGGGTTCTGCCTGTGGACCAGGTTTGGTTCTGGTCTCAGCAGGTCTTCTGGTACCTGAGGAGCTCTGAGATTTTAGATCAGCCTGAGTGTCTGAGAATCCTTTCTTTATTTCTGATTTCTAGAATCATCTGAAGGTTTTTGTTCTTCTGTCTGTTCAGATTTGATATTTTTACACTTTTATTAAACTGATGATGTCATGATTTAATAAACTGACGTCATGTTTATTAAACTGATGATGTCATGGTTTAATAAACTGATGTCATGTTTATTAAACTGATGATGTCATGGTTTAATAAACTGATGTCATGTTTTATTAAACTGATGATGTCATGGTTTAATAAACTGATGTCATGTTTTATTAAACTGATGATGTCATGTTTTAATAAACTGATGATGTCA